CGGCTGTAGCGGTGGCAGTCGTACGCGTAGTGGCCCTTCTCGCCGCACTCGTAGCAGCGGTCGCTCGGGTCGAAGGGCCGGCGGGTGGGCGGACGGTCGTATCGGGAACGCCGTGGCATTCCGGTGGACAATTCCACACGCGTTCGAGAGCCGCAGATCACACTGAAACAAATCACTCAATCGATCAATCCACTCGCGTTTACTTTCACAATACACATCGTTTCAAAGCAGCCTTACAGAAAATGCACATTACAATTATTAGTTATAAGAGGTGACTGTCTAAGTTATGTACAGGTGAAACTCGAAAAATTAGAATATCTTGAAAAAACTAATATATACATGCAAAGTGAGATATTTCAAGCCTTTGTGATGATAATAATTGTGATGATTATGGCTTACAGCTTAGGCATAAAAAAAAAAAAAGTTTGGTTCCGGTTTGTTGGCAGTTGAGGTCATGGGTCGGTAGGGATTTTTTTTTTTTTTTTTTTTTTTTTTTTTTTTTTTTAGTGGCAGCAGCAATGGATAGGTAGGAAATTATTCAGGGCTCGACCTTAAGCCTTTTCATGTGCTTGCCCTCCGAACAAGTAAATCTGTCATTCACTTGTCAGAGTAAAAAAGTTGCTTGTCCGGATTTTTTAAATTTTTTAAATTTATTTATTCTGAAGCAATGTTCTCATCAGTGTTCAATCAGCTTTGATATTTAAATTGGCATATTGTAATATCTGCACCTTTGAAGGGCATCCCCTCCCCCAATCTTATTAAATGCCCTATAGTGTCGTCTTATTCTAAATAATTGAATTTATTGATCAAATTTAGGAATTTAAAATGAAAGATGAAGCATACTGTTACCCTAAGTAGGGCTGATCAAATTAAATAATTTACACTGAAAAATTACAATTGCATAAAATAATGTTATGAAATTGATTTAAATGTACAAATAAGAAACATCGGAAAGAAGTATACTAGGCTACTTATAAACATAACACTAAACTGCCAATAGGTGGCGGCAGGCGGCCGTATTAATGAGTGAGTCATTGATTCATTAATTCAAACGATTCGTTTAAACGGTTGATTCATTCAAGAATGAGACGGATGTTTATGAATGGGTCATTGAATCTTTGACTCAACCGATTCGGTCAAAATGCTGAATCATTCAGTAATGAAAACAGGTTGAGTGTTCCTGTGAGATGCGCCGTGGTTCTGCTGTGATTTTTGTTTGGAACTATTTTCGCTGCAGAAACAGAACAAAAACAGCCAATATTTCATCTAAAATGTAAGTGACTTAATTGTAACTGTTTATTGAACTGTTGTAGGAAATCAATGTCACATTTTCAATTGTGATATGGTATTCAGGAAAAATAATTGAGGCTGCTTAACACATATGTTAAAATATAGAAACTCCACATTTAGATTTGTTTATAGGCAGTATGTTGTTAACTGAGTGTGTGTATGTGTGCTGCGCTCATGTGTGTAGATTTCTCCTCGAGAGGCTGCGCGAGCGTCAACAGCGCACCTCACCGTCAGCAGGCTAATGCATTTATTATCCACAATCGATCGCAACTTACAATAAATGTAATAAAATCATTCTCTCGGTTTAGTGATTCCCTAGTTATTTGTTTGTTTGTTATTGATGTTCTAATCAGGCTACTTGTCCGTTCGGGCAAGTAAAATTCTCTTTTACTTGTCCTTCAAAAATCCATTTGTCGCGGACAAGCGGACAAGTTAGACGGGCTCTGGAGATACGAAGCGCGGCAGGTTAGAGTGTTTTGGATTGCATAAAGTAATAAAAGAAACGAACAAATACATGGCGAAAGAAGTGGTAGACAGCAGAAGAGGGTATTGGGATTTGGGATGATTTTTAATGAAACTTGGGAGGCGGATGGAGGTTACTCTGTAACTCATCATGTGGTGTGTGCGTGCCTATGAATGCATGCATTTGTATGTGTGCGTATATGAATAAAAGTGTCCTTAATGACAAAAAAAAACAAAAAAAACTTGTAGCCTATATGTATTATAGTTCAGTTTGACGAACGATGTGTGAACGACCATGTTGCTGCCTCGTTTGTTTTGCTGGAGGACAACAGATGGCATCTTGCATCGCGTGCTGTACAAAAACGTAAATTATAGTTCGCCTCAAAGTTTTTTATTTGTGTATTTATTTAATTTTTATTATTTCTTCCCCAAGCTCATAAAATAAATTTGGGTCGCACATAAATTGACAGGGTCGGTCGGAAACCGGAACCAAACAAATTTTTTTTTTAAGCCTTATGAAAACCTTTCTAATTTTGAATGTGGGGTTTTCATAAGCTGTAAGCCATAATCATCAAAATAATAACAAATAAAGGCTTGAAATATCTCACTTTGCATGTAATGAGTCTATATAATATATTAGTTTCACCTTTTAAGTTGAATTACTGAAATAAATGAACTTTTGCACCATATTCTCATTTTTCCAGTTTCACCTGTATTTCAGAAATGTACATATACAAAATCACAGATAGCGAAAAAAGTATTAATTTAAATAAAGTAATAATTTATTGCAGAATCAATGAGTTTATTGAAGTGTTATTGAATATTTGCTTGTTAACGAATGATTATGACGTTTAGAAAAATGGAGCATCAAAACAACAATCAGCAATCAATCAAACTTTACTTATAAAACACTTTAAAACAACCCAAGTGGACCAAAGTGATGTACAGAAAAATAAATAAAGGACATGAAATACATACTTTATACTAAACAAAGAGGATGACTCGGATTACTAGAAAAAAGGTACGCATCTGCGGTGAAATAAAATCTTTGTTACTTGAAATAAAATAAAGGTTAACTGAGACAAAATAGAAAAATTCCAGATATCTGGGATTTCTCATGTTCCTTTAGTTGTACTAAAATAACTAAAACTTAGACCTGCACAATTAATAGTTAAAAGATGGCGATCTGACACACAGAATTATTATTTCTGTCTTAAAATCATTCAAATTATCACAGAAGTTCTGGATAAAGGTTTATAGTTCAGATATAAACACTGATGTCTACGCTAGAGATCAAAATAGAGCGAATCACTTTTTGAAGCTTGACGCTTCAGATAAAGATTGTATCAGTTTTATCGTTACACCAGTAGGCGGCGACAAGTGACTGTTATACATATATTTATCATTTAATCATTCACTCAAGAGATTTGTTCAAAAAAGCAGATTCATCCAGTAATGAAACAAGTGAAGTCTTTATGAGTGAGTCATTGAATCATTCATTCAAGAGATTCGTTCAAAAACACTGATTCATCCAGTAATGAAACACGTGAAGTCTTTATGAGTGAGTCTTTGAATCATTCATTCAAGAGATTCGTTCAAAAACGCTGATTCATCCAGTAATGAAACACTTGAAGTCTTTATGAGTGAGTCATTGAATCATTCACTCAAGAGATTCGTTCAAAAACGCTGATTCATCCAGTAATGAAACAAGTGAAGTCTTTAAGAGTGAGTCATTGAATCATTCACTCAAGAGATTCATTCAAAAACACTGATTCATCCAGTAATGAAACAAGTGAAGTCTTTAAGAGTGAGTCATTTAATCATTCACTCAAGAGATTCATTCAAAAACACTGATTCATCCAGTAATGAAAAAAAAAGAAGTCTTTAAGAGAGTCATTGAATCATTAATTTAAGAAATTTGTTCAAAAACACTGATTCATCCAGTAAAGAAACAAGTGAAGTCTTTAAGAGTGAGTCATTAATTTAAGAAATTTGTTCAAAAACACTGATTCATCCAGTAATGAAACACGTGAAGTCTTTATGAGTGAGTCATTGAATCATTCACTCAAGAGATTCGATCAAACACGCTGATTCATCCAGTAATGAAAAAAAAAGAAGTCTTTAAGAGAGTCATTGAATCATTAATTTAAGAAATTTGTTCAAAAACACTGATTTATCCAGTAAAGAAACAAGTGAAGGCTGCTTCCGAAATCGCATACTTCCCTACTATATATTAGGCGAAAATCATGTGACAAAAGAAGTATGACTGAATTTACAGTCCTCATAAAAGAGTAGGCAAAAAGTACCGAATGACCTATTACTTCCGGTGAGATTCTGAAGTGCGCATACGATGGACACTTTACTATCCCATGAGGCCACGGGAGAGGATGTATGAATGGCAACTGACGCTGGTCACATGATAATGACAACATGGCGACAATAGTACGTCCGGATTACATTCATACTACACACACTCATGCTATATAGAACGCACCTTTTTAGCAGTCGTGAATTACTTATTCAAAATAAGTACCTACTCAAGAGAGTATGCGATTTGGGACGCAGCCGGTGTCTCTACGAGTGAGTCATTGAATCGTGACTCCGCCCACTCACTTGCCATCGAGGCCACGCACAGCGTCCTCAGCATCTCTGGGATCCTCGAACTCCACGAAGGCGAATCCCGGAGGATTGCGAGCGATCCACACGGTCCTCAGCGGCCCGTAGTAACCGAACGCCCGCTCCAGCTCACCCTTACCTGCCCCGGTGCCCAGGTTACCCACGTACACCTTCGTCTCTTAAAGAGAAAAGGACATTTAACACCTGTCATCTGTCAATGAAATAAAGAAATAACCACGCTTTTACCACGGTTTAACTCTGTGACACAAGAGGCTAATGTTCAATAAACAGAATTCAGCGGCTAAAAGGGGAAAGTATTGAATTCAAACCACAATTAACAACACAAACAGGATTTCAATAATATATTAGATTTAATAATAATTTTGTATAATATAAATGGTGAAATAAATTAGAAACATTTTGACAGGAGACGAACTCAGATTTCAAATAAGCATATATTGAGCAGTGTTATTTATAAACTTATTACTATTTTGAATTAGCTTTTATTTTTATATTTTCAGTTAAGTTTTAGTCAGATTAAGTGCTTTTGTCTTTTTACATTTCTATTTAGCTTTAATTTATTTATTTTAGTCTTAGTAATTTTAGTACCTTTGAAGTTTTTCACATTATATTTGATTTCGTTTCAGCTTAATTTCAATTAAAGAATGAATTTTAATAGTTTTAGTCAACAAAATCAACTTTACAGACTACGTCACACTTACTGTTTCAATTGAACGGTTTTAGCATCTACATCTACAAACTTATATGATAATTTCAAATCTGAAATACAGAGCAAACTTTAATAAAAACAAAACAGAAATAAAACGACACATGAATGAACATCTTCACGTTAACATATAACCCTACAAACCGACAATTATTCAAAGTATGAATCCAAATAACGTTGTGATTATTACTATTACTAGTTTTATTATTAATTACAATGATTACTATTATTATTAATCGGTGTTCGCGAGGGCGCCATTACAGTTAGCAGCTCGTGCTAAAACACAACACATCTTTTCAATAACCAGACATATTTAATACATGAGATGAAGCATTCTGCCTCCAGCCTTGTTTTATTCGTGAATTATTCGTGAATTATAGCACTCACCACCTGCGTGTCGCCCGTGTCGCGACATAACGCGATATAACGAAATCCTGACAGCAACAAACAACAGCCTGTCAAACGACTCCTCACCTGCGCATGCGCAAACTCACGCAGCCCCCGCAAAAGACTACATTTCCTATGATTCTCATGAAGGAAATAACGACCTGACTCAGCCAACCAATCACACGCTCGTTTACGACAGTGACGTCACACGTGTACAGCGTCCACTTACGCCAAACTCCAGTGGAGATGAAGTCGCTGATTAAGTTGATCAACGCTGATTAAGTGATTAGTGGTTCGCAGAGATGCTGCAGTGGAGGGACAGGAGTCCTCAGCAGTGGCAGGAGTTCGTCAATCAGGAGGTTTGTGTAACCGCTCACGATCAGCAGCGCTTCGAGGGACGCGTGTTCACGGTGGACCCCGTTTCTGCCAGGTAAACATCAGAAGATAACAACTACAAAACAATTATGCAACTAAAGTACTTAAAACCTGTTTGTTTGTTTTGTTTCCTGTTTACGCTAGTTAATAAAATCACAACTGTTCAATGTTAGTTCATGTTAGCTCAGGCCCATTAAATAATTTTAATAATGCATTAGAACATGTGGATTCATGGGCTGGATCCTGGATCTGGGCCGACTGTCTGGGTAATAAATGCTATATACACATTTATAACTTGCTGTTATTTGTGACTACATTTTAAATTATTTAAATATTTATTTACAAATGTTGCTGTGACATGACCTACCGGTCTCAGTGGACCCTTTTCAAAGACTGTGATGACACATTTTAACGGTCTTCAGCAGTGTAAATACTGCAAAAGTAGGTTTTTTTTATGTATAACACTATACTTTATAGAATATTAATGTCACGTGACCTACCGGCGTCAGTGGACCAATGGCAATGACTCTCTCTGGTAGATCATATTTATCCATCTATCACCCAAAAGCCAGTATTAGTTCTCCTCCACTGTTCATAGGCTTGAGCCTCCGTGTTACAGCGAATGCTGGGAGATTTGATGTGTTTAATCTTAAACATAAAATAACCTGATCCTGTTTGATCACTGTTCTGACACTCGTCAGCATACATTTTTCATCTTGCATCAAAATCCTGTCTATTCATTGTATGCGTTTGAAATAATGAAATATAGAGTTGGGTTCTGTTTTAATGCACCTAAAATAAGAGTTTAATATACAGGTTTGTGGCTCTTAATTTCTTTTTATTAATTAACCACTTGTAAACTTATGTTCACTGTTCTTTTTTAAAATAAATATAGGATTTGTATTAAATCTATATTCATTGAGTCGAATCGGAAATCAAATTTAGAATCAGAATTGAACTGAGAGCTTGCGAATCGAATTGGAACATTGAATCATAACCCAGCGTGAATCATCTCATATTGTGTTGGTTTGTTCATTCTGGTGAGTTTCCCAGTTTTAAAATCGGTTAATGCAATTCATATTTTTTTTTTCAAGTAGTACAAGCTTTTTATTAGTTTCAAATACATTTGTCATTATTCGAGTCGATTACTCGATTAATTTAGTCGATTTGATTTTGGACACAGTATTTGATTCAAATGAATCATTTGCTTTTTGAATCAAAGTGTGAATCGCCTCATATGATGTTGTTTTGTCGATCGCAGTGTGGTGCTGGTGAGTTTCCCGGAGACGAAGCGTCCATCGGTGCAAGTGGTTCTGGGTCACGCGGTGACAGACGTTCAGATCCTCGCGAGCGGAACGAAGGAATCGGAGAGTCGGATGAAGAGCTTGTTCCTGCCGGACAGAGCGCAGGTCCTCAGCGCCGACGAGCTGAAGTCTCGGAGGGAGAACCTGCGCGTGTGGCTGGAGAAGAACCGAGTCCCGGTGACCGAAGACGGGGATGTTCTTCGTGTGGCGAGTGTGTTGAGCATCAGCGCCCCCTACAGCACTGGAGACTGCAACTGCGCCAACGAGATCATTCTGGCCAGAGTTCAGAGTCTCGTCGAGAGCATCCCTGGAGAACACACTTCACTCGCACAAACCTGAGTCTTTATTCTGACAGAGATGAATCCACTTGTTCTCAAGGTCTGAGAGTGTTCATTAAGAGGAGATGTTAATGCTAATGTTAATGAGAGTCGAACAGCATTTCTGCTACATAATGTAAATATTTACGTTTTTGATTCTTCATGTAACATTCAAAGTTCCTGTATGTTTGCTCATGTTATAATAAAAGTTTCCTGATGAATGCATGAATAAACTCTTATGCATCGCAGGCTAGTAGTGTTGGCACTAACAGTAAATAAATGTTGAAATCTAAAAATGTTGAATATGGATTATTGAAATTTTAATATTCACAGCTTAAAACCAATATGCTCAGAATGTAAAATTTTGAAAAGATTTTCAGTCGAATTTGTGGAAGAGAGTTTGTGAAGCGAAATTAAACTAACCGAAAATTGCCTCATAGGTTGCATTTTTAAACAGACTGAATATTTTTGAGGTGAAATCTGAAAGTTGAATATGGATTATTGAATTTTTAATATTCACAGCTTAAAACCAATATGCTCAGAATGTAAAAATTTGGTTACTTACTGCATTCTGCCTATTACACACCATTCGTATTCTAAAACTATATTTATTAAGGCTCAGACTAAAAATCACTTTATCAGTTTATCAGCAAAATGATTCGAGCTTTCACGTCTCAATATTCCTCATTATAATAATTCATACGCAGAATAAAGGGGCGGGGCCTGGTTGAGTTAGTTAGTAGTGTGTTAAACTGGCGGTTATGGAAAGGGGCGGGACATTTCCCAAACACACTCGAAGCGCTCGACCAATCACAACACACTGCTCCAGCCGACCAATCAGAGCACAGTGTGCTTTCAGGAGGAGGGGCTTCATAGAGACAGGAAGTAAACGGAGCGTTACTGACAGACTGGGAAGAGAGGAGCCGCAACAATGTCCCAAAAAAACAAAAACAAGCATTTGTTTCATGTATTTTTTATGGTTTTGGGTTAGGGTTAAGTATAACCCTGAAGAACACTAATGAAAATAATATAAAATTAGAATGATCAACTCATCTTTCTCTTGATAGAAATACCAATTGTGTATCAGAAATACACAAGGTCAAAGAAAATATAGTCTTGTGTGAGGTGAACACCGGCTGCCTGGCATGATCATTGCAGTGTTTGATGATTTTAAGGGCGTTTTTGTTACTTGATGTGTAAAAGCAGATGTACAGTCAAACCTAAATTTATTCAGACACCTTCAACATTTCTCACATTATCACAGTTTAGAAAATGGTAATGAAATATGACAATATTTGACTGGTTTTGTCCGTCCTTCTGTTAGACTCTCACACATGAATTATGTTGAATATCTGTCAGCTGTTAAATTTAACTACACAATTAGATAATACCAGTTTAGCTCAACCAGTGACCAAGCAATGCTTCATGTTGTTCAGTGTGTGTGTAAAAAGAGCATTAGCAATTACAGAAAACACACTTCAGCAAAACATGATCAGCTCAAAGTGGAGGAATCATTTTTGGTCCCATATTGTAATAAATGTCACTGGTAGTCACTGTATGAAGAATTATTGGGTGTAATATGTCACAGTTTACTGTATTTTGCTCTCCTCACTTACAGAAATGAACTATAGTGTCCTGCACACACTAGTGAAACATGATTTTTGGTGTCTGAATAATTCTAGTTTTGCCTGTACATCACGAGCTCAGCATCTGGAGACAGTGAAGAAGAGAGACGTGTTCATGGCTAGCGTTTGGCATACAGTGGTAGAAACACTTTTATTCCCTTGTTTTAAGGCGGCGATCGTTTTTTTTTCTTTACATACTTATTGGCAAAAACAGAAATGATTGAGAAAATAAAAGTTCTAACACATACAAGGACAATCACGTGTGTTTCTTGAAGGTTTTCTCGAGTACCTCTTTGGTGTGCGAGGGTACCTTAAACTCCCGGTACTCGTCGAGTCAACGAGTCTAGAACATCTGCAGTCCCTTTACACTCTCCGTCCACACACACACACACACACACACACACACACAGGCACCGGAAAATAATGGCGTGAACGCTCTTTATCGGGTCTGTTTCGTGTCTGTGTCGTCTGTCCTCCAGCAGGTTTGTCTGTTTCTCAGTCTGAGCTCGGCCAACGATCGCCGCTGGAAAAACAAACCAAGCGATGAAATGGAAACGAACGTGACAAAACAAAAGCTACACAAAAAGACAACACACACACACAGAGTTCCCGAGAAACCGATCTCGGCTTGATTTGCACAATCGCCGTCTCAGAACGGGCACATCTTCAGTCCTCAGATGGATTTCACGTTTAAGGGCTTTCGTCTGTTTTCGTTTTAGTCCTCAGATTAACTTCGCTCTGTGAGGGGTTTGCCGAAACATGCCAAAACAAAAGCTACACAAAAAGAACAACACAGTTCCCGAGAAAACCGATCTCGGCTTGATTTGCACAATCGTCGTCTCAGAAGGGCACGTCTGTTTTCGTTTAGTTCTCGGATTCGTTTCTCAGACGAGCACGTTTAAGGGCACATCTTTAGTCCTCAGGTTAACTTCGCTCCGAGAGGGGTTTGCGTTGAAGTGGCGGTCCATCGAGCCGACTCGCTTTCGCAGGGAGTTTTGGGATTGGCGATTTGACAGGTTTGTCTGTTTCTCAGTCTGAGCTCGGCCAACGATCGCCGCTGAAAAAACAAACCAAGCGATGAAATGGAAACGAACGTGACAAAACAAAAGCTACACAAAAAGACAACACACACACACACAGAGTTCCCGAGAAACCGATCTCGGCTTGATTTGCACAATCGTCGTCTCAGAACGGGCACATCTTCAGTCCTCAGATGGATTTCTCAGACGTGTTTTCGTTTAGTTCTCGGATTCGTTTCTCAGACGAGCACGTTTGCGGCTTCATCCTGTTTTAGTCCTCAGATTAACTTCGCTTTATGAAGGGTTTGCGTTTTCAAGGAGCGGCGGCCCGTCGCGATGGACCGACTCTCTTTTGTAGGTTTTCGGAGGGAGTTTTGGGATTGGCGATTGGGAAGTGCTCTGGCGCGGCGGGACGGGCGGCCCGGCGGACCCCGGGGTCGGCGGCTCCAGGTCGAGCGGCGAGGAGGGCATGTGTTTGCGGGGTCCCAGTGGAGAGGGCGTCTGTGGGATGAAGGGAGACGGTGGGAAGAAGGTCTGGCTGAGTTCGGAGCGCCGGCCCTGGGGCGGAGGCTGGAGGTGTAGCGGGGAACTGGAGAAGGCGTCTGGCGTGCGCACCGGCTCGCGAGGAGGAAGGGTCGGGGGACTGTCGGGCGGGTCCGTGAGCGAGTAACGGGGCGAGAACACTTTAGTGGTGGGCTGACGAGGAGGGATCGCAGGAGGACTGTCCTGGTGCTTCGACATCATCTGGAACACACACACACACACGCTGCGTTTGAAAAGACAGATCTATGACCACAGACTAGGGGTGTCACAATATATCGCAATACAGAAATGCAACAATGTGTACTGTGGATAGTTCACCCAAAATAAAAATTACTGTGTGAGGAAAAAAAGTTTTAGTGTCAGTACTACATTAAACTACTATATATAATGTTGAATATGATGTATAATAATGCAATGGCGGAATATTTGTGTAAAAAGTGGCCTACAGAATTTTAAATATATGTAGTGTAGATAGAGTGAAAGCATTTTCGTATTAAATAATTCGGATTTTCAGCTTCAGAATCATGAATATTGTTATTGTCCTGTGCTTTGGGTTTCCAGCACCAATGTGTGTGTGTGAGTGAGAGTGCTCTTGTTTTCATGACAACTGAGGACATTTTTATGATAACACACCTTCAATATGAGGACACTCGGAAAAATGAGGACATTTCCTGAGTCCTCATATTTCAAATGGCTTTAAAAACACACTAAGCAGTGTTTTATTAACAGGGTATCTGCACACTTTTTAAAGTCAAATTTAAGGCTTTTTAAGACCTTTTTAAGACCTGAAGAAATCAAAATTAATACCTTACATTAGGGGTGCGCAATATTGAAAAAAATATGTCTCAATATTTTCAAAGTTTTGTTGATGATAATTAGATGATATTTTACTGATTGTGTTTGTGTACTGGTACCATGGCTGGTTTAGGCCTGTTGTTGACAGCTGACTCACGAAGATATTCATATTTTTCATATTCTATGCAGTGGTCAGTTCACAGCAGTGAAAGAAATTTACATTTTTTATTAAAGGGCAATATTTGCAACCTTAAATTGAGTTCCAGGGGCATTTTCACCCATATATGGACTTTTTTTTTTTTTTACTTAGAGGTATGCATCACCTTTTATGTCAAATTCTAACATTCAAATTAAATTATATTAGAATAATAACACAATACCACTGTTACCAGTTAAATTAAATCATTAAATCAAAATCCATCTTTGCAGTGCAGAGGAGACACAGAAGCAGCATCAGAACTGGCATTAATATATTTATACTCCATTTACAATTGCATAAATAAAGCTATGATATTCAATATGTGATTCAATTCTTTCAATTCTTAATTCAATATTTAAATATGAACTGATTTCTAATTGTAACATTTTAATTACAGGGTACTTTAAATGTGAAACTAAACCCGCCAGTAGGTGGCGGCAAGTCACTGTCTCAGGGAGTCATTCATTCAACCGATTTGTTCAAACGGCTGATTCATTTAGGAACTGCAAGTGATTGTTCATTGACTCGTTAAAATGATTCGTTCAAAACGCAGATTTCAGTCAAGAAATCATCGCTGTCTTTTGCATTGAGACTCTGCTACGGTTTCATTTTGAAATTCTCGTCAGCGAAATAAAGGGAAAACAAACAATATTGACAATATTGTTTATAAAATGTAACAATGTTAATTTAACTGTTATATAAAATAAATATCATATTTGCTATTGTGCACGGGAAACCAGCCCTCTTGCTGATGCAATATTGTATGATAACAACATATGATATATAAAATACAAAAACTTTATACGTCTATTAGGGAACATATACCTATAACTGCACTGAC